GTGCTGTAATCAGGCATTGGCACAACATGCAAGCTGAGCAGAGATAGATTTGCCTATGTCCGTGCCTGGTCCAAGTACCAATGCAGTTGGCACAGCCTTTTCGTGCCACAGTGTACCATCCTAGTTACTAGTATGCTCTATTGCTTTAAGTGACTCTAGCGACTTGTTTTGTTTCTGAATTCCCTCGATGCAGTTCTGGTGTGAACCGCAACACGCTGGCCGCAGCTTCAAAACGTCTGATGAAGCACTGCAAAAGTGTGCATGGCAACCGATGAGGTCGAGTTTAACGTCACATAGGGGGTCATATCACCGGGAATCATGTAATATCTTGTATAAAGTTTGTGAAATCGCTTCCGAGGCACACTTTTTGGTGCAATGCTGGGATTGAAATATGCAGGTCAGAAAGGGCAGAAGTTTTGGGCTGCACGTTGCAGCCATGTGGAATTCATGGACTGAACACTGGACACATGGTACGTCTACATGGCGGTTTAGGAGTGGCAGGGGCCATGGCAGCCATGTGATTTGCTGCTTTTTTGGATGGCCGCTGTGAGCCAAAGAGACGTCACTTGGATGTAACGGGAATCTCTGGTGACGACTTACTTTGCAGTGAAGTCCTGCCCGTGGCACTGGGCCAGCACCAGCGCAATTGCGTGGAGGACGTATGGTGCGACAAAGAAGGGAGAGTCTGATCCAATGTAGATCTCCCCACAGGATAGAGGCTACAAGTTCGGGTGTTATTTCAGGGAACTGATTCTCTCCTCCAGGATGCGCCATTGTCCAAAACTGGTTTTCTTTTGCCGTTCTTTTCCGAGATTTTGAAGTGTCCTTACTGACAACATTCGTGTCAGTTGGACACAAGTCCCAGCTGGGGTAACATTTGCTTCTATGGCTAGGGCTTGATGCCATGCTTCATCCATCTTCATCCCGTATCAGTGGGTTCATCCTGCAAGAACTATGCATGGTGAAGGGGGCCTTTGAAGATCAATGCATTCTGATGAGGGCACTAACTCCGCCGTGAGAAGAAATATTATAAGCGTAATATAGTAAAGTAATATATATATATATAATTATATATATATATATTCTATTCTATGCGTCCCTGCATTCATGTGTGGCTATGTGTGTGAGACCATGCCGCACAGCAGCACAGTTCCATCAGTCCAAAGACTGGGAGAGCTGCTTTTGCATTAGAACAGCTCGCGCACACCCAGAAGCTCGAAGCGGCTCCAGATGTGGCCAGGCCTCGCCAAGCAACCCCTGATATCCCAGTACTCCAACCCATGGTCCCGCACACTTATGTCTTGACAAGATGACTTTTTTATTAGTTGGCGACCCAGCCCCAACCGTCATAAGCATAGTGGATTAGGCCCTCGGCTGTGCAGCAACGGCCAATGCTCCATGGCAAAGCCTCAGCGACCGCTGGTTTGGGCTCACCGTGGTGCTTCCCAAATTCGCCCCGAGAATACCTTGGCCGCCTTTCGAGCGGCCTTGGAAGCCGGAGCTGACGGAGTCGAGCTGGATGTACATCCTTCAGCTGATGATTACGTGGTGCCCTTGTCGCACACATGCTCCCATGCCAATGCCCAATATGACATATCCATGTTCTTTCTTTTGAAGAGCTTGAGGATCTGAAGAAATGCAAAGGTTTCGGAGCAAATTAAGAAAACAGTCTGGATGTGCCTTTGTATTTGATCCAAGCTTGCTCCGGGGCGGTCTCCTGGTGAAGCTTGCCCATTTGAGGTGGTGATTCACGATGCGACGGTCGACCGAACCACCGACGCCTCCGGCTTGGTGAAGGACTTGACATGGGCACAGTTGCAGAGGGCCGATGCAGGGGTGAAGCACTCGCTGGCGTTCGCCCATGAGCGGGTGCCTTTGTTGGAGGAGCGGAAGAAAACGGAATCAGACTCCAACACAAGAGATGGATATTGTTTTGGCATAGACCCGGGGGGTACGATACTTGGCAACAAGCCAGGAATATGCGGATGTTTTCTTTTCCCCCCCCCCGCTCTCTCTCTCTCTCTCGCTTCAGCAATTAGACTTCTTTGGGTGAAGGTTGGAGATGTGGTGGGCATACAAACATCGTGGTCGGCGAATTTGCAAGGCCACCCTTCGCAACTTTGTAACAAGTCCTGAAGGGGGAAGATGTGGGACGGCAAGTCATAGCAATGGGAGCTAGAGGATGGTGAGAGGGTTTTCCAGCTGCTTCAGGGTCATGATTCTGCATATGCATGAGGAGGTCTTGGAGTTGATTACGACGCATGACAAGATGCTGCTGATTGAGTTGAAGGGTCCCTTCTCGGGACTGCCCACCTGGACTGCCAGGGCGTTGAAGCCGTGGGTACATCAGTCGGCTTATCCCCAACTACCCCGATTGGTGGCAAAAGTGTTAGAACCCTATGCTGGTCAGGTGCGAGCTGGACAAATCCTCGCACAGTCCTTCTATCGACCGTACCTTGACGAGCTACGACATTTAGTACCGGATCTCCGACTGCTCTACTTGACTTTGTCACCTGCCTCTGGTTGGCTGCAGCGAGAAGATCTCCAAGGAGTTCCGTTGGACTTCTATGGGGTGTCAGTCCGTCATGCCGCGGTGACGCCACATTCGGTGAACGGCTTGCATGAACGACAAGGCAAGGTCTTTGCATGGACAGTTGACTCTGAGGAACATCTCAAGGCTGTGATTTCTGCTGGAGTTGACGGAGTGATCACCAACCGCCCCGACAAGGCTTTGGCCGTGCTCAGTCTCTCAAATACGAACTCGCAACGCCCCGCCAAGAGGCGGAGATGTTGCTGTGCTCGTGCCAAGATTGCTTGACTTTGCAAGAAAAGATCTAGCGGGCAGGCACCAGGTAGTGGATTGAGGATCGACAGAGCTCATGCGAATGAACATCCAGCCCAGGTTTATGGTTCTATGGTCTCACTTCCTTACTTTTGCCAAACCGCTGGGGAACCCCCCTCAAGTTGATGTATATATGTAGACGGACACAGTTTTGGTTCTCTGCCCCTTTTTTGGACTCCCCTTTTTTGCGCGATCACAACGAAATGACAGCACAATTGTCTGTATTCTGTCCGGGGATCGGTGTCCTGAACTTCGGAGCTTCCAGGTCTCCGAAAAGGCAATCATTTGTGTCCCTAATAGCTTCTTGTTACTACTAGTAAGGCACCTGTTACTACTAGCGTGGCACTTGTTTCTAATAGCTTCTTGTTACTACTAGTAAGGCACCTGTTACTACTAGCGTGGCACTTGTTTCTAATAGCTTCTTGTTACTACTAGTAAGGCACCTGTTGCTACTAGCGTGGCACTTGTTTCTAATAGCTTCTTGTTACTACTAGTA